CAACCAAGTATTCAAGCGATACTTAAAACAAAACATAAAACAAAACCAAGTATCAAACGATACTTAAAACAAACCAAGTATAAAAGCGATACTTAAAACAAAACATAAAACAAAACCAATAACTGAGTACCCGTACCGGTTACATATATCTTGAAAGTTTCTGATTGGATTTTGTTCTACATACCTCACAAAGAGCAATTTTTTATGTTTAAATATACTTTAGAGAAGCTTATAAAGTATATTTTATAGGAGTTTACCTTATTAAAATTTATCTCCTAAATAGAATATAAGAGTAAAGTTAAAAGATGAAATTAGAAATTTGTAGAATACAACATAATTTTGCTTTTTTGGTGGTGGTGTTATAGCTGAATCCATGTTATATGATAGTGAATCTTAGTTTTTTTTTTTTCCAGCTACTTTCTACTGTTACACTAATTTTATACTATTAGTTATAGTAAAGATAATTACAGGAGTAATTCTGATTTCTAAGTAGTATCGACCAAATGCATAAGTTATATGATTCTCCTGTAGAACCTACAATTAGTTATAAAATTATTATATATCATAAATACTAAAAGCTCTCATTTCCCTTTTGTAGACTGTATTCAAATAAGCTATTGTCCTATAAATCAGAGATAAATAGTGCTAGGACTACTTTAACTTAGTGGAGACAATTCTTTAAGGTAGTATAGCTAAGGAATAACATGAAATTTTCTATTCTATTAGGAAAAATAGAATCTTTCTATATTATGATATCCTACTTGTCAAATTTTTTCAGGTAATATTCCTCAATAGTATAATATCAAGTAAAGGGAAAAAGTAAAGTAACTTAGTAGGTAACAAAAGTAATCCACATAAGATATGTTAAAAATAAAAGAAATTTTAGTTATCATATAGTTTTGCCTTCTAATTTTTGATAGCTATTCAAAATATGAATTTTTTCTTCTTTCTTTCCTAACTTCTAAAAGAAGAAAGAGAAAATCTGATACTACAAGGAAAGTAATTAATATAGGTAAATTTAAAGTTAATAAATAGGGCATCAGAAGAAACAAGTCGTTGTGGTTGCTGCTATAAAGGTTTACTTACCATTGTGATAAAACAGAAGGAGGGACAGACAGGAGTACTCGTCCCTTGTAAGAAGTACAGTCGCACCCCACTACCCGGACCGCGCTGGACCGGATACCCCGTTGTCCCGTATGAAATTCCCTGGATTCTGAATTTTTTGCACCAAGGTTCAACTTCTTGTCCCGGATAATCCTCAGTTCCGGACAGATTCTTCGGATTTTGGCCATCCGGGACAACGAGGCGCGACTGTACCCGGAAACAAGGATTGAGGAAACATATAGTAAAATGCCTGTGCGTGTCCAAGCGCCCATGCAAAATATACCCCCCCTGTTTCCGGGCACTTACGGGGGAG